CATTACAGACAATGGCGATTAGGACAAAGCTGATAACAACATGGTGTATACAAAGAATGTAGTGTATAATGAATTATTACATTAAATAAAAAATAACTTTTCAGTTTTATAAGTGATCAAATTGCGAACGTTAAGCCATAACAATAATTTTTAACCTAAGAAATCACTATTTTTACCAATAAAATACCCGTTTAATGCACTCGTTTTGGAAAAATAGAATAGCGCAGCTAATATGCTGAATAAATGTTATGCGGTAAAGTTTATAACAAATTCTCGTGTTTTCAATTAATCACTTAATTTAATTTGATAGGTCATTTACTTCGATTCGTGAAACAAACAAAATGAAGGATTGTGATAAAATGATGAGACACAAGGAAACGAAAATGGTGAATATTGACACCGAAAAAATAGCTATAAAAGATACAAAAATAGAAAATAAAAGGCAGGAAATAGTGGAAAAAGAACAAATTTCGAGTGATTCAGTGGTATTGATTGAGAATACGCATTTACATGTTGAAAGTGCAAAAACTTATAGTTATATTGAGAATGGGGATGAACACCATGACCATGGTATCGCTGCCGATGAGTGTGTGGTCAACGACGAGGGATGCAACGATTCAAAACAGATGTCCATAAAGACAAGAACCGGTGTCGATTGCACCATTGCTAGCATACACAGTCCAAACGTAGCTTTTATTGATGATAAAAACAGCACGGATCAATCAACGCCTCTAAATTCATATGTAACGTACCAGTCCAATAAGAAATGTTTTAAAGACTTTATAAAATCGTTTGATACTTTGCAATCGATCCTATACGAAAAGATGCAGACCTATCGAGAACTAAAAGAAACAGAGAAAAAAACAAAACCATACGAACTCATAAACTTCTTTTCGAATGAAAATACACTCAGTTCGCTATCCCTTGTTGATCTAAAAAGCCTATATTCCGAATTAAGTACGAAACTGGGGAATGCCGAGTACGAATTCAAACAGGAAATGATAAAAAAGCGCATACGTTGTATTTTCGCAGCCGAATTTAGACGAGCAATAACAAATATGGCAACTCTGTTGAGTAACAATGAGTTACTGTCATTTATACATGTATTTAATTCTGAGGAGAAGTATTTCCTAATGGTAAAATATCTGGGAGAACGAAAGAGAAAATGTTGCGAAATGAATGGAGTACTAGGAAAGAAAATGTTTGTTGTTGAGGAGATGGTTAGGCAGGAGATTTATATGTTCTATGTAGTGTTTAGGTGTGAATATGAAAGATTGAAGAAATGGACGGATGGCTATTGGAACGATAAAGAACTAAATGAGGCCGAGAATAAAACCAAATGCAATCAAAAGGATGTAAACACATTCAATGAAGGAGATGAAAAATCTGAAAATGAGGTTAGGATTGGGTCAAACAACGTAATCCATGAGGATGGTAAAATACCATCAACCAATTATAAACTACAGAAGAATCACAGTGACGCTGAAGATAAAGCTATAGATGTTACCAATTATACAAATTGTGCCAATTCTGATGAATGCGCCTCCAGATCAAATAATACATTACCCAGCGAAAGTGAAATAGATTTAAAAGACACGAAAAACCAAAATCGATCAGTTGAAATGTGTAGAACTGAGGATAATAATTTGACTAAAATTAAGCAAATAAATTTCTATGCACGAATAGACGGAAAAGAAACCTTCCTAATTAGGCCATTTGCATCCTTTCTTATGCAGAATAATGTGCTCAAACTTCTCGATGCCTTCGTATTTTCTCTTACTAAAAATGTTTTAAAAGATTACACCCACGCAGATGTTCAAGGAGTGGTGGATAGGAATGGAACTATAATTACAGAAGCTGTCAGAGCTGGAACAATAAATGAAAATTTCACTGATGGTGTGCGATTTTATGCCAATGTCATTCTATGGACGTGTTTTGGTGAATATGAGGAGAAACGAATGGAAAATGAAGGACAATTTGAACTCTGAGTAGATCATAAGAATAGTTAATATTTAAAAGTGAGAATGATACGAATTCTTGTTCATCAGAAACCATGCACATCTTATGCCTTATTTCAGCATTTAGCATGTGTTATAAACGAAGATTATAGTTTTTTATAAATAAGTAACGATATTATCGCAGGGTAAACGTATTACCGAATTAAACGTTGTTATTTTACTTGTTTGTAGCTTTTAAGTTTTGAGGACACAAATACTTATACGCACAAATTTATTAATTTATTTTATGATTTTGTTTTGGGATCTAACCATTACTTTTCAGAATCACTTCTAATACAATTTCATGAGATATTTTTTTCTGAAAATTTACAAGACCTAACTGCAAAAATCTACTTAATCTGCTACATATAAGGCCCACTTTAGCAAGAATACCTTATGGGATGTTGCTCGTACTTGTAATTTTTGTTCATAATTATCACAATGCTGTTCAAATTAATTTTGTTTTGCCAGCTACTGGCGTTTCTGAAACATTAATATAGTATTTTTCCTTTTTTGCACTTCTATGAAATACTATGCCCAAAATATAAAATCGATTTTATTTTAAATTACAATTAATCACCTCTTTGCTCGTATTGTACGCTATGACCATTCATTGCGATCTAATATACAATCAACAATCGTTACAACAACTTCGTATTCGTCAAATTTCTGTGCCAATATCTAGTTATTACCGGGATATTTATCATCTTGAAGAAAACGTAATACCTCTTTGGCCCATTCATCTCGATAGCAATTGTTATCGTCAATCAATTTAGCAACGTATCTTAGCCACACACCCAGCATCGCCATTCGTTCCTTTATTACTTCCTCTTTGTAATTAAAAAACCTTTTCTTGGGAAACTCCGGTTGAACGATTTTTCCGCTCAAAATTTTATAAAGATGCCGGAATTGTTTGTAACGGCGGAAAACACGTGAATAGCATTTGCGGTATTCCTGTAGATTTGTAATACATAATATTTCATAATGTATGATGTTGTTAAGCTTTTTGTGCGTAGGTATAGATATTTCGAGGATGTGACCATTATCTTTGGACATAGAAAGCTTGTGTGTGTTGTGATTTTATTGTTACTTTGTTTCTGTTTCATACGTGATCAAAAATGGCGCTGTAAAATTGGAAGAAAGTTTGAGACGGACGGGTCAAACTGAATAGGTATGTATGGAAGTAACCCGTACTTGAAAGAAATGAAAAGATGCAAAATGAAACATTAATTGATTTGAAGTGATGTGTTAGAGGGAAGAGCAGTTTCATTCAATAATCATGTATCTAATATTGCACATTTATTAATATTCCACCATACTATCGTCTAATTAAGCCTTCCCGTGCCATTTAGCTTGACGAAACCCGAGCCTAATAGGTAGGCATTAACATGCATTAAACGGCCAGACTGGTATTTGTAACCAATCGCAATACGAATCGAGATACCGCGGTACCTGTGGTATAGTCAATTTTACTAGATACCGCGTTTGAGAAATGAAATCTAATACTTTTATCGATACTATAGATTTATTATATTTTGTATATAATAGTGTACCATATAATATTTGCCACATGGTACGCCAGAAATATATAACAGTTTTAAAATTGCATTACATGAATAAACAACGTGTCCAAAAACGTCTTCAAATTTAGTTTGGTTCACTAAGAAATGTAATAATACAAGATTTAAAAGTAAATATCATATTATTTATAGCATATTATTTTTTTATAAAGCAAATCATAAAACTGAATGAATATCTAAAAAATGCGTATAAATCTAGAAATCCACCATGGTATGATACCTTATGAAACATTTCAGCAAATGTAAAACCACTTTACATTTAGTACATTTCCATTTCATTACGCTTCAAATTTTATGTTTATCTCAAACATAGCACGTCCTTGCTGGCTATTTATTATTAGACATGATCTATATATTTAGAAGTTCTGCCTAATGTTTAGTTTAAAGTCAAAGAGATGTTTAAACTGATAATTTAACGCATTTTACAGCCCGTGATTTTAATCTTTGCTCTTACTTTTGAGGGTCTGACTTGCGATATTTATGTTGGGGCCAGAATCTTCATCTCGAGTCAGACTAGTTAACGTACGATAAAGAGTTGAGCTCTTCATATGGGCGATTTTATTAAATTAAAAATTGGTACATGTTATCTACAACGGTATTATGTGAAGAATAATAAACGAAAAGTATAAGATATTGCCCCACCATCCGATAAGGCTAACATAAAAATCGAAGCCGCATGGCGGTCTCGAACCACCGACCTTCAGTTTACAAGACTGACGCTCTACCGCTGAGCTAATGCGGCTTAACATGCCACACATACATAGTTTTAACTATGAAAATAAAACTTTAACCTAAAAACGATTCAAGCAACAAAACAAGGAATATGGTTAGCAATATAACTTTCTCATAGAGTTTTATATTAATAAATGATAATTCAGGCAGCAACCTTTCTGCTAATAATTTGTTTAAACGCTAGTTTGTTGTTTCCCTAAGATTTAATCGGGATATTCCTTTTTAATGGCACTTGGCTCTCTGTGTGCAATTAATTATCACGGTTGATTTAGAATTGTTGAAAATGTTTGATTGAAGGTTTATAAACCGTCGATTGACGATAAGGCATAGCATAGCTGTAGATATGCTACGTCCATGTCATACCAGCTCATCTACTTGCATTTCTATAAATTATATTAAAAAACCACAATTTGTAACCAAGTCAGATTTATTAACAGTAAATTTGGATTATTTCTTTTAACACACTAATTAAACCGTCCACACCTCCACTCAGCATGTGATCACCATCAATAACTCGTACATCAGCGTTATTTACCATTTTAAGGACATCAGCATTGCTATTAATTACGTATTCATCGTCTTTCAACAAAAGAAAGTGAAGAGGCGTTCCGCTTTTGTTAATTGTTTTAAAAAATTCGTCTGAGAGATCACTGCTGAACAAATCGTCATCGCCATATTTACTAAAAAGGCTGATGTAGCGCTGCGCATTTACCGGACAATTGGAATGTAAAAATGTTGTTTTTGAGTTCTCCATGGCAAGCTCGAGATTGTGTTGCAGGTTTGGATTAGTGTGCTCCTCATATTCGCGGTCACTTACTGGGCCAAGAAGTATCGAACACGTGATTTTTGTGAATGATTTGTGCGTGTTGAGATAGTGTAGGATGGACTGGCAACCTGTAGAGTGCCCGAGCAGTATTATCTTTGGTTTCTTGTCACGTTCAATGTTGATATCATTCTCTGCCTCGGCTGTTGTACTTCTGTTACATTTATCCTGGAAACTCGTGCATATGTACGTGATAGCCTTCTCGATATCCTTGGCGTCATCTGAAAGGCTCCATAATCCAAAGAAAGGATGAGAACGTAACATTGGCTGTGCAAATTGCGCAAAATCCATTTTATCTGCCATTTCAAAGACGAACTTTGGATGCATCAGACCCGATAGCATGCCACCAATATAAAGTATGATCACTTCCGTGTTTACAGTTTGTGTTGTAGAAAGTATGAGCAGGTGATTAGATTCATCGTAAACGGAAAGATTAACATGCATAGGGGTGCAGTTCAACACGTTTATCACTACTCTCTGGATTTAGCATGTAAAGAGCGCATAGCGAGAACTGACAGCTGTTATCCATTCTATTTCAATTTATATACATGTATTAATGTTAGGAATATTGGCATCGTTGATTCGTGTACGTTTTCGTAGAAGATGTGGTATCAAACGATAAGATTGTCATGTTATTGTTCACAATTATGAAAGGCTCTGTTAGACCTTCTATTTTCACTTAAAAATACGTTTTACTTTCACTTTATACGTTTTATACGTATTTTTATGGTTTATTTGAACAAGAAATGATTAATTGCATCTAATCGTTATGTATTTGAGATTATGTTCACCATTGGTTCCTTGAAGGCTTTATTAGAAGAGAAAAGTATATTGAAATCGCAACAATAACCTTAGCATAAAAATTTTGATTTGCTTAACGTTTCACATGGAAATATCTAAAAAACTCTTTTCACAGGATTATTTGTTCGAATTAATTTTTGAATGCCTAATACTTGATCTTATGTTCTAAATTTGTCAAATTATTCGTATCTTAAGGAGATATTATGATGCAGCACTCCTGTCCTGTTTATAGAATCGAGCACTTTAATAAAGACGAAACATTATAGTACTAAGAAACTAATATATCCTGAACCAACGATTGTTGAGACCATGTTCGGCGCTCAGCGCGTCAGAAGAGGTCGTTTAGGTATGTGGGTAATGTTAGGAATTAATTAAACGATCTTTCTAACAAAAGAAGCTAATCTTATAAATATATATTGATTAAACCTTTTGTTTTATAAATGGAATAGCACAGCTAGATATAGCATATTAAAATAATTTAAAAGAAATCATTAGAAGATTTTACGACAGAAATTGCCAAGCTCAATCATAGTTAATATATAAACACTGGTATCTAAGTATCGGGAAACGCAAATTTCATAGTACATCCTAATATGATTTGCAACGACGGATAATGTGATTTTCAAGATGAGATAAATAGCATAAACACTATTATTGAATCGCACCTCTATGGATACGCAATGAATATAAAAATGTTAATTGCTTAAAGTTACATTGTGGCTTATCGTAAAACCTGTGATGATCAAATTCGGTATTACGGAAGGTTATCCATGAACCAAAGGCCGGTGACCATGTTCGGTATCAGCGGACAAGAAAAGTGTGTTAGGTTGAGTGAAGTGTGCAGTGATGATAACTAAAGATATTTTTAGAGAAAAATTAAAACAATTGAGTCACTAATAATAATTTAATTAGATGTGATTAATTTATCAAATGGATTCAAGAAAAACGTAATTAACGCAATGTTTATCTTTTTATGAATGATGAACGGGTACAGATAGCATTTTTGGTTAAATTTACGAACAATTAATATGCTTGCGACTTTATTTTCTTTTCAAACTAAGAAGTGATTATTAAGTTTTTTTGAAAAAGTTTTATTGTTTCTACGTTCTTCATTGTTCCAGGCGGACCAGAAGAGTGCGTTGGATTAAACGATATGTTGTGATGTTACAATCAAACATACTTTTTTAAAAAAATTCAACATTCTTCATAGCAAACATACTCTTCCAATCTGCGGGATACGCGTTTATAAATATTTCTTTAAAAACATATTTATATCAATTGAATTATTTTATAGCACACACTTTTTTCTGATCTGCTGGAACGATCATGGTTACCGGTTTTGGTTCATGGAGAAAACTAATAAACAACTTGGCGCATATCTTCAAAAGAACAAAACGGTGCACTACTATCGCAGCAATAACCTTAACATGTGAGTCGCAATTTATGTGGTATTTCTCCCAGGAGTACCGTGGTACGTCTCCTTTAGGAACTTTCACTTAAGCCTAGTTCCAGACCTTTCAATACTTAACCACGAGATTACGTTCCATATTCTGCCCATCTCCAACACCAGAAATACAAGCAATTATGAGATAACTGTTATGCCATTCTGATAACAAAACGATGCAGCGTAATCCCGAAACGCAAACAAACTTAATAACGACTTTGTTGTAGTGCACAAGTCATTATATTAATGATAAAAAATATTTTACCTCACGCAAAGTCGGGAGACTTAAATAAAGCTAATTACGAAAAAATTTAGTTAAAGAATATCATAATTAGAATTCACTAACCTAACAGTCAGATTCTGTAACAACTACTATGCTCTCGTCTCAAGAAGAATCAGAGCTTGAACCAACGGCGGATGGGCCCACACCATAATCCATGCTATTCTGTGCTAAAGTAGCTTGAAAATCATATAATTTAAAATAATACTGGATCTCGCTACCTTCCCGAACTCTAACCATATCTCCTTCCAGGGCGCTCAAAGCCATTAGAAAATGAAGACAGGGAACCGCATTACAGTACCAATTGAACGGTGAAATCGTGTATTTAACAGCATCTACGACTTTACTAGGCGCCAACAATTGAAACGATGTGGTTAAAGGTAATGTCAAATAGTCCACGACCGATTTCAACGAATTTGTGAAAAGAAAGAAAAAAATACCAGGAAAACGAAGTTTCATACTAATGTACCAAGCATTGTATGCTCTGCCGAACGCTTCGCGGCACAGTGGCGAACACATTATATTTATTCCAGGATAGCACCCCGTATAATCACGCCTTCTCATTACATCCTCCATTGTATGATCCATACAAATGCCGGAGAGTAACTTCTTACTACCGACCGTTTGCTCACAAGCCTTGCCGTCACGCCGACCTGTCATCGATCCAAGACACCGACTATAAAACGGCATCATTGAAAATGATTCACTTTCTAAATGTGAGGTAGAATCTAGAACTGCACTGAATATCTCCCACATCACTTTTTTTTGCAGTCGACAGTTGCCACAATCCTTACGTGGATCCTCCGCAATCTTGTGCATCCTGGCCAGCCTTTTGGCAAACCACTTGGGCACCCGCATGTAATACTCGCACGGTTTTTTCTTTGTTTGCAGAATGCGATGAGCCGGTTCATGCCAAAATTCCCAAAAATCGGAACTATCGTAAATTGCATCGTTAATGTATGTCGTTAGCATAGGATGCACAAACAAGCCTAAAAAGAAGAGCGCAAGCAACATCAGCGTGTTCCATGCCGCTCATTATTTAAACTTTTGTCCACTTTCTTATCATGAATGCACTTCAAAATACATGACGTGATAAAGTGATTAATAATTCGAGAGGACGGCCTTTCGTTGGCAAAGTACACCGATAATAAATGCCGGTGTTGTTCTATTGACATATAGAAGATAAATAGCAAATTACTAAATTTAACTAAAGGTTTTCATTTTTGGAAATATAAAATTACGTGTAAATTTTGAAACGATGTCTCCGGAAAGCGATTTACGTACCCGATTTGGTATTTTCTGTGTATGAACCATAAAATGCAGTGCCATCAACTTTTCAAAAGTGTCGTATTATTTGCATTCAGAAATCAATATTTTTATAATTAGCGTTACTCCTACCAAGTATTATTCTAAAATATTATTTAATAACGGCATATAAACGTATGGTATGTTTGCACCGCGTATTAAATTATTTCGTTTAATCGATATTTTTTTTGATTTGCCACGCGTATGCCCTGACAGAAATGACGTTCAAACTTTCGCATTGTATGTCAGCGCGCATCGCACTTTCTACAGTAGCAGGTCTTGCCCTGATAACAACGTACTACTGTTTGAAATATTACCAAAATTGGAGAATTGAGCTTCATAACTTAGAGCCTTCCA